TGTGAAAAATTCCAACATATATCCAATAAAGTAATTCAAACAGTATATCTAACAAACTAATAGTATAACCAACTCCCAGGTACCCATTTCCAGCTTCAATTTTGCAACATCTGTTCATCCACCCCTCTCACCCCACTGTTTTCCATAATGATAATGATAATGGTTTTTATAGCTTTTGGTTTTCTTCTTTTGAATGAGAGGTTTGCTCTAATTTATTTTGTATATGTATTTGTGTGTTTTTCCTAATAGTTTTGCAAATGAACTTTTTGCTACAACTTTTTCAAAATTAAAATAGCATGGCATCTTAGTGATTATTAAACCCCATGTATCTCTACGGTACATGAAAATCTTTCCAAGAATACAGGGGCAAGTATAGTTAAGTTTAATGCTTTTACATTTAAGTGGGGGAGGTTTTGGAGAGAAACCTTCAGTGTCCATAATCATTCAATACAGGCATACCTCGGAGAAATTGTAGTTCGAATCCAGATCACCACAGTAAAGTGAATATTGCAGTAAAGCAAGTCACACAATTTTTTTATTTCCTAGTGCATAGAACGTTATGTTTATACTATATTGAGTCTATTAAGGGTGCAGCAGCATTGTGCCTAAAAAAACAATGTCCATTCTTTATTTAAAAAACACTTTATGGCTAAGAAGTGCTTAGTATCATCTGAGCTTTGAACAAGTCATGATCCTTTTATTGGTGAAGGATCTTGCCTAGATGTGGACGGCTGCCGACTGATCAGGGTGGTGACTAATGAAAGATGAAGAGGCTGTAGTAATTTCTTAAATAAGACAGCAATGAAATTTGCTCTACATATTGTGATTCTTCTTTTTACAAAAGATTTCTCTGTATAATGCCATACTGTTTGATAGCATTTTGCCCACAGTAGAACTTCTTTTCAGAATTGAAGTCATTTTTCTCAAATCCTACGCTGCTTTGTCAACTGAGTTTATGGAATATTCTAAATCCTTTGTCATTCCAACAATGTTCACTGCATCTTCACCAGGAGTAGATAGATACCATCTCTAGAAACCTTTTTCTTTTCTCATCCTTAAGCAGTACTTCCTATACAAGTTTTATTATGAGTTTGCAGCAAGTAATATCTAATTCTCTTGATATTTCCACAAAATCTGCAACTATTTCTTCCACTGAAGTCTTGAACCCTTCAAAGTCGTACATGAGGGTTGGAAGCAACTTCTTTCAAATGCCTATTAATGTTGATATTTTAACTTCCTCCTATGATCACAGATGTTCTTAATGGCTTCGAGAATGATGAATTTTTTCCAGAAGGTGTTCAGTTTACTTTGCCACATCCATCAGAGGAATCACTGTCTATGACAGCTGTAGTCTTACGATCTGCATTGCTTAAATAATAAGACTTAAAATTCGAAATTACGCCTTGATCCATGGGCTGCAGAATGGATGTGTTAGCAGCATGAAAACAACATTAAGCTCCACAGTGCTATTGGATCAGGTGCATTATCAGTGAGCAGTAATATTTTGGAAGTAGTGTTTTTTTTTCTTCCCCAGAGCAGTAGATCTCAACAGTGGGCTTAAAATATTAAGGGAACCATACTGTAAACAGCTGTGTTATAATCCAGGCTTTATTATAGAGCATAGAGTAGGTTTAATTCTTAAGGGGCCTGGGATTTTCAGAATATTGAGTGAGCACTGGCTTCAACTTAAAAGGCATCAGCAGCATTAGCTGGTAAAATGAGTCAGCCTGTCCTTTGAAGCTTTCAAGCCAATCTTTGACTTCCATCTGTGAAAATTCTAGATGGCATAGTCTTCCAACAAAAGGCTCTTTTGTCTACATTGAAAAATCTGTTGTTTAGTGTAGCACCTTCCTCAATGATGTTATCTACATCTTCTGGATAACTTGCTGCAGCTTCTGCATTGCTGGTTCATCTTGCACTTTGATGTTACAGAGATGGCTTCTTTCCTTAAAACCTCATGAACCAACATCTGCTTAGCTTCATACTTTCTCCTGCAGTTTCCTCACCTCACGTGGCCTTTATAGAATTGAAGAGTTAGAGGCCAGACTTGGTGGCTCATAGCTGTAATCCCTAACATTCCGGGAGACAGGAGGATTTCTTGAATTCAGGAGCTTGTGACCAGCCTGAGCAAGAGTGAGAACCTGTGTCTACTTAAAATAGAAAAATTAGCCAGGTATGTGGCTAGTGCCTGTAGTCTCAGCTACTTGGGAAGCTGAGGCAGGACAATCACAGGGATCTAAGTTTGGGGTTGCTGTGAGCCAGGTTGAGGCCATGGCACTCTAGCCTGGGGCAACAGAGTGAAACTGTCTCAAAAAAGGAAAAAAGAGAGAGTTAAAGCTTGCTCTGGATTAGGCTTTAGTTTAGGGGGATGTTGGGGCTGGTTTGATCTTCTATCTGACCACTCAAACTTCCTTCATATCAGCAGTTAGGCTGTTTCACTTTTTTATCATTTGTGTGTTAACTAGAGCGATACTTGTAATTTCCTTCAAGAAGGAAATTCCTTTGCATTCAGAACTTGGCTAACTGGTATAAGAAGGCTAGATTTTGACCTGTTTTGGCTTTGTACATGTTTTCCTTACTAAGCTTGATCATTTTTAGCTTTTTATTTATTTATTATTATTATTTTGGCCAGGGCTGGGTGTGAACCCGCAATCTCCAGCAATACGGAGCTGGTGCCCTCCTCCTTTGAGCCACAAGCGCTGCCCTTAGCTTTTGATTTATAGTGAGATAGATTCAACGCTTCCTTTCACTTGAACACTTAGAGATCTTTGTAGGATTATTAATTGTCCTAATCTCAATATTGTATATGCAGAGCATAGGGAGGCCTAAAGAGAGGGAGAGAGACAGGGGAATGAATGAATGAACGGCCAGTAGGTAAAGCAGTCAGAACACACACTACATTTATCAGTTGAGTTTGAGATCGATTAATGTTTTTTTATGTGTGCGTGGTTTATGGTACCCTACAGTACTTATAAAATAATCAGAGATGACTGATTACAGATTCTCATAATAGAGGGAATTAGCAAAATGTGACATAGAAACACAAAGTTAACACACAGTTGGAAAAATGGTTCCAGTAGACTTACTTAGCATACAAGGTTGTCAGAAACCTTTAATTTGTAAAAAATGTAATATCTACAGTTTAGCTCAATAAAGTAAAGTTCAGTAAAACGAGGTATGCCTGTATTTTGTTTTGCCCTATTTACATAATCTGCCTAGAGCATATTGAGTAGGGTTTACCTAAAATGTTATATTGCATAATGATAGACATTGGCAAATATCGTTTGTTTCTTAAAAACAATGTAAAAGCAAAACTTAATTGTGTTTTAATTTAGTAAGCCACAAAATAGACCAATTATGTGACCATATTCTAAATTTGAAAAACTTTTTTTGTGATATTAAACATGACTGCTCATTGAGGAAAACTTGTCTTAATTTTATAGGGTACAGTTAAGGTCAGAGAATGAAAGTTCAATGTAACTTGCTCTTTTACATTGATTAATTGTATAACCAGTAATTATCCATGTGACATCCCAATGCAAATGCTGACATCCATTTCCAAAAGAGTTGTTTTTTTGTGCTTTTTCTAAGGTTAAAAAGGTTTTTGTGGTTTAAATGTTGTTACATATTTTACAGCATTAGGATCTATGGAATATTTTGACAACTGCAACAGTTCAATGAAGTTGGTAATTTCTTCTTTTAATTATTTTTCATTGAACAGCTTTGGAGTTACATTTCTACATTTTGATTTCTGGTATATTATAGGGAAAGAAAACTTAAAATATGTCAAAGGATGTTTTAGATAAAATACATAGATAGTGATTATGATATGGCAGTAACTAAATTATTCTTACTTTAAGTTTTGGTAATGCCTAATTTTGATGAAATAGTGTGGTGTTCCTTCTAGCTACTGACTGTATATGTGTAATTGCACATTTTTCTTAAATAAGTTGATTTGTAGGTTTTCACATATTACCTACCACACCCTAATCCTTTTGTAAATTAGAGAGCGAACCTGGATAAGTTCAATTAAATAATAGTCTCGTATAGGTTCCCCCTCATAGTAATATTTGAAAGAATAGTATTTTGGATTTTTTGGAGGATAAAGTATATTCTTAAAACTTTAGTTGTCAAATTATTTTATTTTAAGCTTGTTTTTATAAATTAGAGATGTATTGTTTCTTTTGGGTGCATATCACCAATTAATACGTTTGATTTCAGATCTACAACTTACTGCTTTGTAAACTTCGCCGAGGTAAAATGAAACCATTTGGCTACTTGGACTGATCTACATTACATAGGTTTTTTCCTATTGACATTTGTAGTAGATAACATGTCATAAGTGATGAAACAATACATCTTCCATATTCTCAATTGGCATAATACTAAATACAATTGAAGCTAATTTTTTAGAGATTATAAAATATAATTTTTTTAGTTCAAGTATTGTTATAACAAGTAAGAGATACTAAGAGTAGAGCTTTTTTTTACACTAGTAAAATGTGCCTAGAATGTTTGCATATACTGGAATTGTAAAATATTAGTTAGTTTTGCAACATAACTAATTTTTCTAACTCTAATGTTGGTTTAAGCATTTTTTTATAAGTAAATTGTTCTTAATTGAAATCATGATTTATATATCCTTAATTCTTTCCTAAGGGTGAAACTTTATTTTAAGTTTTTTAAAATATGAAATTAACGTACATTTTAGCAGATTATGTGAAGTCTTGAAAGATAAGGGGATTCAGGGTAACTTGATTTAAAGTTTTGTAACTTTGGGTTGGGTAAAGATACACTTAAAATAAAGCATTCCCTTTGTTACTCTGATTCATTCTCAACATGTGGGTATTAAAGTACATGTAAAAAAATTTATGTAAATGTTAAATTACTTTATAAGTATTTCCTAGATTTAAAAGTACTAATGCAATGATATTAGATTAGCTTAAAATTAAACTGTGATGCTTCCTATGTTAACATTTATGTCTCTTATTTCTTTATAGCAAGGAGTAAATAATGCTGAAAAATTTGACTATGTAAGTGCAACATAGAATTCAATTTTTATGCCGTATTCTTTGTGTATTTGTTTTTTGATTACTAATACTTCCTAATTTTGGTTTATAGGTGATGCAATTTTTGAATAAGATGGCTGGTAATGAATATGTTGGATTCAGTAATGCAACGTGAGTTTGCTTTGTGACTTAGGTTTTTATGGTGGGTCCGGTTTCTTTAAATTAATAAAATCTAGGTTATAGAATTTTACTTTAAATATTGTTTTGTTACTTCATATATGTGTGTGTGTATACATATATTTGCATACTGTATATAGAATTAATCTGTTCCATCTTATTGGCCCTAGGACTTACTTCAGTGAATAATTGCTTAAAATTTGGTCATTAGGTGGAAAATGAATGATTTCTAAATTATGTAACAGAAACACTTTAACAGTGCTTTAAGAAAATTTTTAAAATTTTTTGTAGATATTCATATAATCAGAAAGACCCGAAGTTCACCTCAAATTACTGGCACTTAATCCATTATATCTTTTTTTATACTTACTTGTCTTCTTTTATCTCTCTGCCTAGCTAACTTGATTTTGACCCCAATTTTTATTTTATTTTATTTTATTTTTATAGCTTTGAGACAGTTTCACTCTGTTTCCCTGGGGTTGAGTGCTGTGGCATCATTATGGTTCACAGCAACCTCAAACTCCCTTGGGCTCAAGAGATCCTTGAGCTAGCTTCCCAAGTATCTGGGACTCAGGCTCTCACCACAAGGCCTGCCACGTTTTTCTGTTTTTAGTAGAGATCTCACTCTTGCTCAGGCTGGTCTCAGACTCCTGGTCTTGGCCTCTCAGTTTGCTAGGATTAAACAGGCGCGAGCCACTGACTTTGACCCTAATTTTTAATTTTGAAATGTTCAATTTTACAGAAAAGTTGATAGGATAAATAGTGAACATCTGGAATCTTTTACCTATATTCTTGAGTAGTTGATCTTATTTGCTTTTTTCAACCTCTCTCTTTAGATAGATAAAAATGTGTTTATATCTCTACATATCCATATGTAAATATACATATTCGTAGGATTTTTTCATGAACTATTTGAAATTAATTGTAGACTTCATACTTCATCCTTAAATAACTCAGCATGTATATACTGAGAATAAACATAGTTTTCTACATAACCACAACACCACTAACATACTTAATAGACATAAACATTAATTTTAAAATACCATGACCTTAATCAATATGAAAATATCCCCCAACTGTCCCTCAGATGATTTTTACAGCTTTTATTTTTTTAATTCAGAAACTGCTCAAGGTTCATACATTGCATTGTTATTACTATCTGTTTATTTAGAATAGTCTCCTTGCTTTTAAAGATTTTATTAAATGGCTTCTTTTGAAGAGTGTGAACCACTTGTTTTAGAGAGCAGGGATTGACTGACTTTTTCTTTGAAGAACCACAGTAAATATTTTAGGCTCATGGGTCATGTGGTTGGTTTCTGTTGCAACAATTCAGTTTCCTAGTTTTAGTATTGTAGGAGAGCAGCCATAGACAATATGAGGTTGTGTTCCAAAAATATTTATGAAAACATGTAGCAGGCCAGATCTGGCCTATGGGCTGTAGTGGGTGTTCCCCATTTTGAATTTGTCTGATTGTTTCTTTGTGATTAGAAAAATTATGTTAGATGGTTTTAAATAAATATTAACTACTGGTTTATTGTTGCTTTGCATTTATCTGACTGTTTCTTTGTGATTAGAAAAATTATGTTAGACAGTTTTAAATAAATATTAACTACTGTTTTATTGTTATTTTGCATTAACTGCGTCACATTTCAGGGGTAAATATTTCTAGGCTATTTGCCTTACTGACATTATTTCATCAGCTTAAGTATCTTTTCCAGCAAGTTTTCCATGAGCCTCATCTTACCTCTTTTCCATGTTCTCATATTACCATATTTTATTGAACTTATTCCATAGTCTCTTTTTGCCTCATAACTCCTATTAGACTCTGACCTCCTTAGGACCTGGATAGAGTGTTGCTTCTCCCAGTTATTTCTATATCTCTATTAGTTGGCAGATAATAAGCACTTGAAATAAGTGTTTGATGAACTGAATTGTGTGCCTTCTTATAAGAAGAGGCACTGTGATAATTGCTAAAAAGCTAGTCCTTTATCTACATACTATGTTGATATTTTAAGTGTGGCCAGTAAATAAGAATTTTTCCATATCCATTATTTTTCTGACCGTAGAAATGTGAAAATACGGAGTTAGAAGGGTCTGTACACCTCAGTGATACAGTGTCACCACAGTTCCTGTCCATCAGCCTTTTGGACACTTGCAGGTTGATTCTCACATGTACTACAAATTAAATCTGTCTCTATCAGAACTCATTCTCTTTTTTTTTTTCCAAACTACTTTTTGCTTTAGAGATCTCTATGTTAGTTAATATTATCATCCTCTCAGTAGGCCTTGTTTGAAATTCAGGCTTTGTACCAGTCAGTCTTTACATCAGTCTCTTTTCTTTCCTATCTGGTCGGAAGGTTTATCCAGCGGCTCACAAGTTTGATCATACCTCTCCTTCATTCCTGTCACCACCATCTAATTCAAGCTTTCCATAGCTCTTGTTTTAGTAGTCTCCTGATATGTCAGTTATCTTTTCTTTTTTCCCTTTTACAAACTGATATCAGACTTATCCTAATAAATCTTTCTAAAATGAAGATCTGACAAGGTAATTTATTTGAAAGGCTTCAAGCTTTTGTTTTGTGGACAGTCCGGGGCCATTACATTCTTTGGCATTTATTGTTCTCAGTAATTTGATCCCAGTCTCCTTTGTTAGTTTGGTGTTTCTCCACTCTTCTCCACGCACCCTTTGCCCAAGATACATCAGAATATTTGCTACTTTAGTGGACTCCCACCTTATACTCAGTTATAATTATTCATACTGCATGGAATTTGCCAGTACCTAGGCTTTCCCCTGAAACCTGTTACTCCAGTGAATCCTACAAGATTTCATTTCATTTCCCTCTCTCAGTGAAATTTCTGTAATTCTCTTCAGTTAGAATTGACCGTGTTTTGTACTTTCAGGGAGCCAGAGGATTCTGAAGTTTTTCAGTGCATTTTTATGGTGGAATATTTGAGAATTTTAAAAGTAGGTTTTTGTTCACAAAGTAAGAAGACTAGAAAGGGCCTGAGTTCATTTCAGTCATTTTACAGCTGAGAGAGTTAAGACTGAAAGAATTACCACTTAATCGAGACTTGAACTCAGTTTTCCTGAATCGTAGTCAGTGTTCTTAATGCTGTACTTTGCTATACAAATTAACTAAAGAATAATCACTTTTACAGAAAGTAAATAAACCAAGCTGTTGTGTTTTTTTTTCCAGGTTTCAGTCTGAAAGAGAGAGTGGAGACCGAAATTTTGCAATAGGATATTACTTAAAAGAAAAGAAGGTTTTTAAATTTTTGTTTCTATTTCACATTTTTTATCTAACAAAATATATGAAGATATATGCTATGCATTCAACAATAGCCTTTAAACAACTACTTATTCCTGTTTAAGATACAGAAGTCTTTGCAAAGTATTCTTGAGTCCATATTATCAAATTGTTAATATTGTTAAATTATTTGTATCTGGGGGCATTCAAATATTTGACAATAATATTTTAATATTTAGGCTTGGCGCCTGTAGCTCAAGCGGCTAAGGCACCAGCCAAATAGACCAGAGTTGATGGGTTCGAATCCAGCTTGGTCCTACCAAACAACAATGGCAACTACAACCGAAAAAAAAAAGCTGGGCATTGTGGTGGGCGCCTGTAGTCCCAGCTACTCTGGAGGCTGAGGCAAGACAATTGCTTAAGCCCAGGAGTGGAAAGTTGCTGTGAGCTGTCATGCCACAACACTCTACTCAGGGCAACGGCTTGATGCTCTGTCTCAAAAAAAAAAAAAAAAAAATTTAGTATTTAATTTTATTAATGCAAATTTTATTTGAGAGTTAGTCCATTTTTTTAAAAGTATAATGCCTTAGTGTTCACCACCCTTAATTTTTTTTTTTTAAATAAGTGGCTGGCCCGATAAGTTTATTAATTACTAATCATTGTCAGTTAAACTGGTATCTAGAAACTTACATGATATTATGATGTAATTTTGCTTTATTGTTCTTTGTTATTTCATGCTCATACTCATTTATAGGTTATACACTATTTCATTCTCAGTGAAAATGAAACATTTGTGTAAATATGATCTTTACATTCTTTCTTTTTTTTTCCTGTGTGCATATATTTTTAAATGCCTGTCTGTTTTTTCAGTGTTTTCCAGAAGGCACAGACATGGTTGGTATATTAGACTTCTATTTCCAGGTAATTTAATTGCATGTTAAATACTATATACAGATGGGTGTCATATTTTGCAAAATATAGATATCTCTGAATTCTTGTTTCTAGGCCATGAGAAAATGGATTTTCCATGCACTTTTAAATAATATCTTCATGAAAAGCTGTCTGGTGTCCATGTCTCCTAAAAAGGCATACCTCAAAATGTAACATGGAAGATATTTTTCTGAGAACAATATATTTAAGTAATGTCAAAAATAATGTACAGTTTCAGAATTTGGCTTCTCTTAATTATAAACTGAGCTCTCTTTTTTTTAGTTTTTAAATTTTGTTTGGGAGAAGCTATTTGTCAGGTCTCATATTCAGCATTTTAAAGTGTCGGTTTCTCAGCTTAATTTGGTATCTCTTGTTAATTTCTTTGTTATTACTCTATCCTGGCTTAACTGGTGCTAGGAGAGTATTGTTTCGTCCAGCGGTTCTCAACCTGTGGGTCACGACCCACAGGAACTGTATTAAAGGGCCGCGGCATAAGGAAGGTTGAGAACCACTGATTTAGTCCATTTCTGGCAGTTCAGTTCAGTTCTGCAGAACTCAATTTAGGATAGCCTTCCTTGCGATTGCTCCCTGCCCTCCACATTTTCAGTTCAGTTTATCATTAGAGATTTTATGCCATTGGTGCCACTGATGGGGCTATAAGATGAAGCTTTGTAGTAGGCTACATTATTGTTAATTAATTTCAAGTTTATTCACATTTGAAGGTGCTTTAGTTTTAACCTTTCAGTAATCTTAGAGAATGTATAAGAGAGGTTGATAATGAAGATTTTGATAGAAGTGCAAGTCACAGTTGGTAATCTACTTAATGTGAAAAAGGAGTTGGGAATTCAGAGTCTAGCCTGGCCACTTATTGGCCATCTGGCCTAATTATACTCACCTATCCCCAATTTGTCTGTAGTAGGTGCCAGTATTACATTGATGATAACATGAGATGATATGAGAAACCTGTGTTGCTATGCAGTGTTATATGAAATTTAGTATTATTATTACTCTACTGTGAATTTTTATACTTTAGGAGAAAAATCAAGAGACAGCCATAGAAGCCATACTAACTTTTTTGGGAAAAGGCTATATCTAATTGAACAGTCATTGAGTTATCAGGAATGTACTCTTAAGTTGGTATTTGTCAAATTAGGAATATATTGCCTTATTTTAAATAAAATTCCAATTAATATTAAGTACAAATTAGGAAATCATTAGAATTTAAATGTTAGTTTCTTTTAGAAAGCTTTTCATAATTAAATCAACCTTCTCATAATTCTTTGCTCTCTGGAGCAGTATAGTAAGTTAGAGTCTGTAGTTTTGTAAAAACAGGGAAGAGATTCTAATATAAATGGGCAAAAGTAAAAGTCTGGCATTCTAAGTCACTATAGTTAGTTTTTTTTTGTTGCTATTTCCAACCTTCTTTTTGCCTCCTGCAGTTTTTAGAGTTTGAGGAAAGTTTGAAGACCCAGTTTTCCTTCTCTCCGTTCATGCTTTTTCTCTCTCTCCCCTCTCACTCCAGTTTTGATCACTATTAATTAAAAATAAAATGTGGAAGAATTTGTTATTTCTGTTTTGTGGGTAAATTTGGGTTTAGTATGGTAAACTACTTCCATTATTTTGATTATATATTTAAATGCAGAAATTTTATGCAGAGTACTTAAACTTTAGTTCTCTTTTCATTCATTATGATATATTCAACATAGTAAATATCAAATAAATATTAATAAATGATCTAGTAGGCAACATTTTGGTTTAGGCTCACACAGCAACCGAGAAAGTATTGTCTTAAATTTTTCTTCTCCTTTGTTCTTTGCACATTACCATATAAATGAGCATAGTGAGCTTTGATACAGCTAAATTACCAGGCATTTCAGCATTTCTTTCCTAAAATGGTAAATTCTTATATAAATGATAAAGCTGATGTATGACACTTCATGTTAAAAATACATCATGGCTCATTTTTTTCCATCAACTTAAAAATAATTATGCTTGTGTATCACACAGAAAGTATTAGTATTTAAGCAAATTTGAATATTATTATGTGGGATCTTAATGCCTTCTATGTGTTATTTTTAATAAAATGCCTGCTTATGCCATTAAAAGACTGAATAATTTTAGACAAATTAGAATAAATCTTAAAAGGGCTGAAACTTTGGTCAATTAAAATCTTTGGGGGCTGGGCATGCAGTTGTTCCCACCCATAATCTTGGCACCTTGGGAAGCCAAGATGGGAGAATTACTTGGGATCAGGAGTTGAAGACTAGCCTGAGCAAGAATTTGACTCCATCTCTACAAACCCCAGGAAATTTAGCCAGGTGTAGTGGTGCAGACCTATAGTCCAGCTGCTCACGAGGCAGAAGCAGAATCGCTTGTGCCCAAGAGTGAGCCACTCTAGCTGGGGCGACAGAGCAAGACTCTGTCTCAAAGAAAAAAAAAAGAAAAAAGAAAACCTTTGTAATGTCATGAAGTTATGTTAAAATCATCTCTTTGGAAGAAATATTTCACATTTGTGAAATACTAGATAAAATAGATTACTTAGAAGTCACCTGTAATGCTAATAGTAGTATGAGCCTACATTGTTTAGAATTCTGTTTTTCTTTGTTTTAGCTATGCTCCATTGAAGTGACTTGTGAGTCAGCCAGTGTGATGGCTGCAACATTGGCTAATGGTGGTTTCTGCCCAATCACTGGTGAAAGAGTACTGAGCCCTGAAGCAGTTCGAAATACATTGAGTTTGATGCATTCCTGTGGCATGTATGATTTCTCAGGGCAGTTTGCTTTCCATGTAAGTAATTGTTTAATCTTAATTTTCTCTGGCAAGAAACGAGTCTGAACTGGTTCTTTTAAATGCAGTTTGAACTTTGCTTCCAAAGCTGTATGTTAATTTTTGTGAGAGAGGCTTGTTTTCAAGGTTAATCTATTACAGAATTATAAAGGAATAGAATTGAACAACAGTCAACCAGATGTTCCTAAAAACTTGAAAGTTTAATTTATAAGATCTCATTACTTCTGCTTTTAAGGCATTCCAATGTACAAGGTTAATACAGACTCTGCTTCTTGTTTATGTTTAGCATTATGGTCATTATGTACCTCAAGAATTTCTTAAATTCAGAAAAGAGTGCAAAGATGCAATGTTTATTATCATTGGTTGCAGCCGTAGATGTTTTAAGGATTTAAAGTATATTAAATTTAAAACTTGAAACAAATGTATTTTTTAAGCTCTGTTGTGCATTTACCTCTTGTAAAATGCATAGACTTCATTCTGCCTTGTGTCAAGTCATAATGTCCTTCTAAAAAAATTCTTTTTGGCTGGGTACAGTGGTTCACACCTGTAACCTTAGCATTCTGGGAGGCTGAGGTGGGTGGATTGCCTGAACTCAGAAGTTCAAGACCCTGTCTCTAGGAAAACTAGTTGAGCGTTATGGGAAGCTCCTGTAGACCCGCCTACTTAGGAGATTGAAGCTACTATGAGTTGTGATACCACAGCACTCTATCCAGGATAGCAGAGTGAGACTCTATCTCACACACACACATAAAAATTTTATCTTGGAAACTTTCAAACATAAAAATAGAGAGATGCACTTAATGGACCCATCACTTAGCTCTAGTAATTATGAATATATGACCCATCTTGTTTCATCTGTATGTATACCTAAGATGATAAGGTATATAATACTCTTACAGTATGTAATCTAAATGATAATGATCTATAACAAAATATAACAGTACCATTATTATGTATTAAAAACTTAAATATTGGCTCGGCACCTGTGGGTCAAGTGGCTAAGGCGCCAGCCACATACACCTAAGGTGGTGGGTTCGAATCCAGCCCGGACCCACCAAACAACAATGACGGCTGCAACAAAATAGCCAGGCATTGTGGGGTGCGCCTGTGGTCCCAGCTACTTGGGAGGCTGAGGCAGGAGACTCGCTTGAGCCCAGGAGTTGGAGGTTGCTGTGAGCTATGATGCCATAGCACTCTTCCCAGGGGGACAGCTTGAGGCTCTGTCTCAAAAAAACCCTTAAATATTCATATCAGAACTTTAATATCAAAATATTTAGCCAACGTTCAGGGTCACTGGATTATCTTATAAATTTTTATTATATTACTTTACAGTTTGTTTGATTTGGGGTACAAATAAGAACAATGTATTATAATTGATTTTTCCCCCTTTTCTCTTGATTGACCGATCTTCTCATCACTTTTCTTAATTTCTTGTTGTTTTGGGTTGAAAAACTGAGTCATTTATCATATTTGGTTCCCTATAATATAGTCTGTGTTTTGTTGATTGCATCCATCTTGTTGTCCTTTATATTTCCTGTAAATTGGTAGATCTGATTCAGGTTATTTTTTGTTCACTTGTTTAGTTTGGTGCAAGAGTATTTTATTGGCATACTTCTGTCAAGAGATACTTAATGTCTGAATGTTAGTAAGCAATTAATGAACACTACCCTAATGACATTAATTTTTCTTTTATCATAATTGTCAAGTTTTATATAACATAAACTTAATTTTTTTTGAAGAGGATTAATTTGTACTTCATCTTAGCCAAAAGGCTGAGAAGTGATGGAAAAGGATTAGCTTAAATTTCCATTTTATCTCTACTCTTGTGACATTTCCCTGACAGTATACCATAGAAAATCTTTTAAGTTATAATTTATCATTGTTTTCTAGTTGTGAGATATTTTTGAAAAATAACTTTTTATATTTAAGAACAATATAAGTTTATTTTAGAACAATTATATAGTCAAGAAGAATATAATAAAAATATCCATAACTCCACAGTTCAGATGGAACTACTTTAATTCCTTGGAGCGTATCTTTCAAAAATTTTTCTGTATTCAAATCTATCCCAAACTGTTTTATAACTGTCTCTTTCATTTACTATGTTATGAAACATGTCAAAAATATTTATAATACTTTTAATGTTGAAATCCTATCGTATGGATATATATCATAATTTTTAAGCCAGTTTCTCTATTGTGGAACATAATGTTTCTTACTTTAAAATGTTTACGTGAATGCTTATTTTACTAAATTATTTTCAGGTTGGTCTTCCTGCAAAATCCGGAGTTGCTGGGGGCATTCTTTTAGTTGTTCCCAATGTCATGGGCATGATGTGCTGGTCTCCTGCTCTGGACAAGATGGGCAATAGTGTGAAGGGAATTCACTTCTGTCATGTAAGCATATTTTCTTAATGAAAATAATGATCATATAAGTCAAGTCATTCAATGATTCTTTTTAGTTTAGCCCATTTTTCATAGTTTATTGACTCTGGCACTCTGTCTGCCAGTTTACCAGTTACTAGATAGCTATGGAAATCCTCCTAGAGGAGCTTCACATTGTTTTTACCAGATAGCTCCCTTTTAATTATTGTCATGGAAAATTATATCATTTGTTTGATGCTTCTGTTTTAATTTTCATGATTATACTTAGTTTTCAGTTTTCAAAAGCCCCCCCACAAAGGTACTAAACTTAGAGAAATATTTAAAATCGGACATATTTTAAGAATTATTGTAGCTTATTGTATCTCTTTTAATTTTTGTGGTTCAATGTATTTATCCATTTACTACCTTTAGATTTTTTTTTTGAGGAAATAACTGCAAATAAAAAAGATATAAAAATTTTTAGAAGGTGCCAGCCACATATACCTGAGCTGGCAGGTTCAAATCCAGCCCAGGCCCACTAAACAACAATGATGGCTGCAACCAAAAATAAATAGCCGGGTGTTGTGGTGGGCACCTGTAGTCCCAGCTACTTGGGAGGCGGAGGCAAGAGAATCACTTGAGCCCAAGGAGTTGGGGGTTGCTGTGAGCTGAGATTCCACAGCACTCTATCCAGGGCAGCAGCTTGAGGCTCTGCCTCAAAAATAAAAAAATAAAATAAAATAAAAAAGAAAGTGTTACTACTCTTGATTAGTTTAATATTTTGTTGTAAACCAATTCTTACTAGTATTTCAGCTTCTGGTTTTGTTTACATTTATTGCTTTCTGGAGTTCATATTAAGTACTATACTCAATTAAAACTCTGGTTTATTTTTCAGTCTTTTATATTTTACAAAAACTCAAGAATGACATTGGCTTGCATATGAAGTAAATTATAATAGAATGTAATCAGAATAGTTTTTATATTTATAAGGTGCTTTATAGTTATTTGATAGAAGAATTCTTTCCTGTTGCCTCTTATTATAAATAAATCTCATTTTATAGAAGGTAAAAGTTTGGCAGTTTGAGTGACTGAGCTCTAGGGTCATCTTAGCAAGTAGGTCCACATTATACTCTGATCTCAGTCTTCTTGATGCATCATGCAGCTTTATTAGTATGCAGTGCTGATTTCTAAGCAGGATGCTATAAACATAGTTTATAAAAATATGAATAAGTGTAGCCAATGAATAGCCAATTTCTTATACTTGCTTTTTATAACTATTTACAGGATCTTGTTTCTCTGTGTAATTTCCATAACTATGATAATTTGAGACACTTTGCAAAAAAACTTGATCCTCGAAGAGAAGGTGGTGATCAAAGGGTAAGCAAAATTCCTATTTAGATAATTATGTAATCTTTTTTTGAGAGAAAATGAGATTTGTCTGTTTAAAACCGAAACCTACTATTTAATGGCCTCATGTCTTTGCTAATCACAAATGAGGGTAAATGGATGGCATTTTAATCCTAGGTAACTAGTACATAGACACTAAATATTGCTGTTTTATAACTTAAATTGGAACTCATTAGCCTACTGGCAGAGTTTTCCCCATTTTCTGCTGTTTTAAGCAGAATTTTTAGATTTGATTCTATTAAAAAAGACATTGGAAAATTCTGTGTGCTATAAGTCAAACTAAAAAGAAATCTTTTTTGAAATTCTTGTCAGTTACTGAATTGAAGTTTAACTCCTTACCTAATATATGGATGGATATGTAAATGAGAAAGATAATATTGGTGAAACACCTTATGAAGCCTAATAAGTCACTGTAGAAATAGCTTTTCTAGAAAGAGTATTTAATGCAGTATTCCTCATAAAGTACTACTTGTTATTATCCGTGTGTTTGGCTTCATACTGTTGTACATGTGTATTCTTCTTTTAGAGCTAGTATTAAGAGTCAGGACTTTTTTGATGTATCACTGGACCAAGGCACTTGTGTTGAGATTTTTCATTTAGTTTTTTTGCATCTCATGTGGAAAATACTTGTAGTAGAATTACTTAATTAGACTTGAAGATAAAATGAAGTTCTTATAAATAGAAAATTATTTTTAATGCATACTGAGCAAATTTTCTTTGGTGCCAAACTAGATTTTTATAAGTTCCAATCAAAATAACTTATAATAATATATGAGAATTATGCACAGCCAACAGAATAGAAACGTCCGTGAATGGGAATAATGTGGAACAAAATGTCAGGTGGTAGTAATTGAAAATGTTAACAGATTTTAATAACATTCATTGAAAAATACCATTTTATAGCTTGGACCTTTCTTCACTCAAGTGCACTAATAAATTATGTATGTTGCTTGAACAACTAGCATTCCTTTGGACCATTGGACTATGAAAGTCTCCAACAAGAACTTGCTTTAAAAGAGACAGTATGGAAAAAAGTGTCACCTGAGTCAAATGAGGACATCTCTACAACTGTAGTGTATAGAATGGAAAGTCTGGGAGAGAAAAGCTAAAGAAATGGGTTCTAGTTTCAGAATGTTCTTCCCTTAACCTTTCAAACATCTTTAGCTATTCTTACAAACTATAAATATTTATTGAGTTTTTTTGTGTTCTCAACCTTGGGTGCTAGAGCCATAAAGCTTTTTATTTTTCTTTTAATATTTGTGTAAAGATAGTAGATTAAAAGTTCATTTATTGGTCTTTAAAAAAGTACTTACAAGTAAATAAAGCAAATTTACTTTATTTTTAAAAAATACAAAAAGGAAGATATTTCTTTAAAACTTTTTTTATGTTATTGAAATTTCGTATAGTCAGATAATCTCATTTTAAAATGGTAACAGAAAATTATAATTTCTTAGTTTTAAAACCTCCCACAAAAACTCACTAATTTTTTTTCAGTTTTAAAACTGATTTTATATCTACAGTGGCAATAGAAAATACTTCTATGCTCAATACAAATACAAAATGAAAAAGCCAAAATAATGAACCTCAAAATTATTTTATTTAAAAATAGCAGTAGTATAAAACTAGCTTAAGTTTACATTTATGCCATTTTTAATGATAGATTGGCTTTACCTTTGTAAGACTTCATTTAAAATTTTATCAAACACTTTTAAATATGTCTTCTTACTTTTTTACTTTGCAACTCCCATGTTCTGTCAGAATTGTCATGTACAGGAGTGTCTTATGTTACTAAAACATTCCAGCCAAAGAATTTCAGATGTGAGATACTGACATGTTTCATTGTTAAAAAGCTATAATGGTTAGTTGCTCAGAATGAGAAGCAGTGAGTGTGTTAAAGTAAAATGTTCAGCTAGACAATTTTATTTTCATATTATCTACGTAACTTTTTCTATGTTATATTTAAATATGAATGGCAACTCTTGGTTTTTAGCTTTTAAAATTTTATTATTCTAATAATTTCATAAATGCTAATGAATACTTTTGTGATAAATTATAACATCTCGTAAAGTTTGTTTTATTTGGACTCTTTGTAGTACTTAGGAGATGAATTTAGTTTGAAGGTAGTAAGTATACTACTTAAGTATTTCAGATCTGAATCCTTGTGTTCATTTATAAAAATGCAATATTGAGAATCAAAACTTGTTTTTAAGAGAGGTATGGGTTCTATACAACATATCAAGTAATTATAATATTAAAGTTTATTTTGGCAAAATGATTATAAAATCTTGTGGGACCTATTCACACTTCTTCCTTCTTCCATGTACCTCTCTGGTTTTGCCCACTTGTTTCAAGTATGTTTGTTTTTCCAATCAATTTTTAAACTTGTAAATTTGGTGGAGGGAGTTTAGAAGGAAAACTTGATTTCTTAGGATTGATGGCATATATGTGGTAGGGCAAAGTCTATAAAATTAAATACACTGTAATATAAAAGATTTCTCTGAGTAATTTAGATGACTGGTACAAATACAGTTATAGAAAAATCTCAGTATCTTGAGTTTGGGAACTATGATATTAGGAAAAGAAGTTTTTCCCCAGAGGTGCTGGTCAAAAGCCTTTTGGGCTAACTTGAGTATTAAATTTATAGATTTAAATAATTAAATATTAAATTTCAGAGAGTTTTAGCAAGGCTTTTATGCTTGCTTCAACGTTCTTCTAATGTTCAGATGTATATGGTAACTGGATGCTTCTTGAGGCCTTACACCTGTTACACATTTGTGTTAGTTCCACCTGGGCCATTTGTATGTATTCTGGGCAATTGAATGCCTTAATTGAAAAAAAGGCATTATTTCTTCCCCCATGGTCTAAATTGTTGTGTTTTATTGTTTTACTTTATAAAATGAAGATTTAGTTTTCATATTGTGCGCATATTTGTCTTAATTTCAAAATTAGTTGTTATGTTGTAGCACTTACTGTTGATAAGGCTTAAATGCACGTTTAAAAATGAAGTAGGATTATCTAAGCAACTGTATTTAGAGATGTTAAGAATGGGCATCCAGACATTTTTACAGGAAGGAATAAATGGAAGAAAAGGGTAAGATGCTGTGAATAGGCCCTCAAACTTAAAAAGAAATACTTTGCCAGTTTTAAGGACATATTTTGATTCCTTCAGTATTCTTAATAACTTATAAAATATAATTCTTAAAAAATACCCAGTGTTGTTGGGTTTAATATTTTATCATTATTGATTCTTGATATTCAAGCATTTACAGGATAGCGTATTTGATTTTCTTTCTTCTTTTTTTTTTGCATCATTAACATTTCATTTGAAATGCATATTCCTCCTGAAATACTTTGTTTTCAGCTTAAATGTTGTGCATTTTATCTTAGTGTTTGGATTAAAACATTTGTGTTGTTTAGATTTCTTTCATTTGCTTTGTATATTTAATAATGTACCTTTATTTTCCAGTGTGCTTACTTTTTGTATTGTACAATAAATTTATTTTAAGCTGATTTTATTGGTTTTTTTTTTTTTTTTTTTTTTAACAAAAGCAACTCTAACATTACAAGTATAACAGACAGTTGGGATTTTAATTTAAAAAAGAAGTATCCAAAACGTATCCTTTATGAAGATACTATTAAAGTTATTTACTATTCTGAGGCTGCCTGAAAATGAAACTAGAAACACTCACAGGGGCTTTATTTGATTTTTTTTTTTTTAAATGAAATGTAGTGTTGGTGGGATTTTTTGGAAGGAGGACTTCTCCTAATGGTGTACTAAAAGTATTTGAATAAAGACTTTTCTCCCAGGTTTTTTTTTTTGTTGTTTTTCCATTTGATAAGTTAAAAAAAGGAATTTTAAGTTATTTGCAGGTTCTTTCTGCTTTCTAAGGAATATAATTGATGATACCCACTACATAATCATTTGTTGTCGCCTAAAGAATAAGAAAAACATTGCTAAATCAAATGAAGAGTATTATAATATTGCTTTATAATAAAACTGTTAATCTCAGTAGAAATTATATTGAGTGGAATAACAATAATATAGAAATTGACCTTCACTGCTTTTTTAAGGTATTTAATTTTTAGAAGGAATTTAGTGTATTTCTATAGCATGGGTCAAATTATAGTCCAGATTATAGAGAGTCCATGTGTTGTAGGTCAAATATGATGTTTCTGTTTTATTAAATCTGCCATTCATATTCCGGACAAGATTTCCCAAATATATTGTGGAAGTTTTAAAATTATTTGAAAGAGGGGGCGGCACCTGTGGCTCCGGAGAGGGGCACCAGCCCCATATACCAAGGGTGGCAGGTTTAAACCCAGCCTCAGCCAAACTACAACAAAAAATAGCCGGGCCTTGTGGCAGGCATCTATAGTCCCAGCTACTTGGGAGGCTGAGGCAAGAGAATCACCTAAGCCCAGGAGTTGGAGGTTGCTGTGAGCTGTGATGCTACAGCACTCTACCAAGGGCAATAAAGTGAGACTCTGTCTCTTAAAATATATATATATTTAAAATTGTTTGAAAGAGGAAAGAGGAAAATCCCCTTGCTTACATGAATTTTATGCTTAAAATGTCTGCTGATCTTGATTGGAAAGTGTAGTGTTATATATGTATGTGGAAAGAACTACTGATAAATACTGATACATCAGCCTGTATCCTGATTATTTATATATAATATGTGTTTATATATATAAATCCTCCTTGTCTGTATATCTAAATCTATTCATATTCTGAAAATAACCACAAGTTCTTTCCACATCATATGTTACAGATAAATGGTTCATTGATCTATTATATTCCTTCTCCAAACTTTGCCATAGAAGAACTCCTAAAATTTTTGCTCCACCAGAATTTATGAAATGTAACATATTTTACTTAATTCAGTTGGCTTTAAAGATTTGTGGTTCCTGTGTTGCCTTCCCATTCACTACCAGCCCTGTCAGTGTAAGACAGTAACAGTATTGGAGAA